GCGTGTGTGTGTGGTGTTGTATGTGTGTGCATGTATGTGTTATCGTGTAGGTGTGTCTTCACGTTTATATGCATGAGTGAGGGAAAGAGTGTGTGCAGGTGTGCGCATGTGTGTGTGTAGAGGCCAGAAAAAAGTCATGGTATGACTTTTCTGGGGAAGATGTGAACAAGTGTCTGATCAGCCCAGACAGGGCACTGACAACAAACCAAGAAACAATTCGGCCGGTTGAGAAGTACCCTTATTTTTTAATTATGTGAATCAGCAAGTTATTTGAAAGCTAAAATTAGAAGCAGATACAAAGCTGAAGCTAAACAGAGACTTAGCTTCTTAGGGGGCCCCAAAGGTTAGTGTGTGAAGGATGGCCTCCTGTATAGAAATTCCAGGGTGCCCACAGCATGGGGAAGCAGAGACTCCCATCAAAGCCTAGGGTGGGGGGCAATTCGGGGTACCCAGGGGTCTGGCATTCTGTTTTCCTGGCTTGCATTTAAAAGGCAGATGGGAAAGTGAGTGAGTTGTCTGCAGTGATGTACAGCCCCAGAGGCTGAAGGAGTCCCCACAGCCAAGGATGCCGAGGTCCTTCTTAATGTGCCGGGTGAGAAGAAACCACAGGACTCACCTACTGCCAAACAGAGCCGTGAAACCCTCCTAGACATGGGCTGAAGCAAAGCACCCAAGATTAGACAACAGAGGACACTGGAGATGGGCAAACCACAAAGACAAAGGAGCAGACTGAGGCCGGCTTCTAGCTCTGCCACCAGCTCTGCACTGTCCTTGTGAAAAGACACTGTAAACACGGCCCCTTGGTTGACACAGCTGGAGAGAGAATGAGAATATTAGTGCTTGCTATAGTTAAGATGTTCTTGAGGTTCATGCCTGGGAGCTTGGTCTCTGGGGATGAGATCTTGTGGGGGTCGGGGGTGGCTAGAAAACGTTGACTGGAGCCGGTGGTAGTGGTGCTCACCTTTAATCTCAGCAGAGACAAGTGGATCTCTATAAGTTTGAGGCCAGCCTGGTCTACAGGGCAAATTCCAGGACAGCCAGGGGCACACAAAAAAGCTCTGTCAAAAAAAAAAAAGAGAGAGAGAGAGGAAAGGAAGACAGAAAAGGTTGAATGGTTGAATGGATTTCTTGAAGGACCTTAGTCAGTTGTTAGTTGATAACAAGAAGATTTTTACATCAGCTGAGCCTGGCCCTATCTGGCTCCTCTCTGCTTTTGCCAGTCATGCCGTCCTTCCCTGCCTCCCATGCTCCAGCCATCCGATGCAGGGCCCACACCGGAGCCCATGCTATACTGTTTGGAGCTGCTGTGTAGCTGTGTCCTCCTAAGTGGAAGAGGAAAACTCCTAAGACCCTGAATGTAGCGGAAACTTACAAAGTTCAGAAGGCTACACATTTCACAAGACTCCACCCCACGCTCACACAGGCTCTTGTGGAAGGAAGCAGACTTCTGCATGGAACTGCACGCAAGTTAGGCAGGCGACTCCACTTACACAGCTTCCAGAGACTCGCCCTGCTGTACTGCCTTTCACTCACCCCCGCTCTTGTAAGTAACCCCAATAAACTCACTGGCTCACAAAGCTCACCCCCCTGCTCCTGTAAGTAACCCCAATAAACTCACTGGCTCGCCAAGCTCCACTCGAATAGGATGTTTCTTTGGTCTGGTGCCTGGACAAGTCACACAACAGGATCCCAAACCATGTGCTAAGGAAAAGTATTTTCTTCATGAACTGTGTCCTGGTTGGTTTTTTTGTCAACTTGACACAAACTAGGTTATCTGGAAGAAAAACCTCCATTGAAAAAAACGCCCCAGAAGGAAGAAATGGAAGGGGAAAGTGTTGTAATTATATATTATAATCTCAAAAAAAGAAGGAAGGAGAGAGAGGGAGAGATAAGGAGAGAGAGCAAGAAGAAAGAAGAAAGGAAGGGAGGAAAGAGAAAGAAAAAAGGAAGGAAGGAAGGAAGGAAGGAATGAAAGAAGGAAGGAAGGAAGGAGAGAAGGAAGGAAGGAAGGAAAGAAGGAAGGAAGAAAGGAAGGAGAGAAGGAAGGAAGGAAGGAAAGAAGGAAGGAAGAAAGGAAGGAGAGAAGGAAGGAAGGAAGGAAGGAGAACGAGCAAGCCTCCATTACATAAAAGCAAGTCTGTATAGCATTTTATTGATGAATGATTGACGTGGGTGGTGCCACTGCTAGGCAGTGGCCCTGAGTAGTGTAACAAAGCAGGCCGTGGGAAGCAAGCCAGTCAGCAGTGTGCCTTCTCAGCCTTTGTTTCAGTTCCTGCCCTGACTTCCCTTCATGATGGACTATAAGCTATAAGCTGAAATAAACCCTTTCCTCCCTGACTTGCTTTTGGTCATGGTGTTTAATCACCGCAATAGAAACTTAACTAAACAAACAAAAAATAAAAATAAGGGAGCTGAAGAGATGGCTCAGTGGTTGAGAGCCCTGGCTGTTCTTCCAAAGGACCTGGGTTTAGTTCCCAGCACCAGCATAGTGGCTCACAACCACCTGCAAACCCAGTTTCAGAGAGTCCAACGCCTTCTTCTGGCCTCCTCAAGAACTGAGGCAAATCACTCATACACATAAATAAAATCTAAAAGAGAAAGCTAACTAAGACAAATGCGTAATTTGTCATGTTGATATAAAAGTGTCAAATCCGGCATTTGCTCATCTCTCCAGTAAAGAGGCACACCATCAAGCAAGAGTCAATGGCATGCTGTGTGCAAAGGGGAGATGCTGCCTGGCATGTTGCTAACAGCCAGCTCCCCAGATGCCCTGCTAACCAAGCTCCCAGTGTTGGCCCTGCCCTCATAGAGGAGTGCAGCTGGAGGAACAGGGGTTTTCTGGTAACAGAAAAGTCACCACAGACAAGAGAGCTATAGGGCCAAAGGTGGTACATCAGGAACAACCCAGCAAGTCCTCCCTAAAAGTTTAAGGAATGGCCAGGCAGTGGTGGTACATGTCTTTATCCCAGCACGAGGGAGGCAGAGGCAGGCAGGTATCTATGAGCTATTTCAAAGCCTGGTCTACAGAGTGATCAGCCAGGGCTGTTATACAGAGAAACCCTGTCTCAGAAAGAGAGAGAGAGAGAGAGAGAGAGAGAGAGAGAGAGAGAGAGAGAGAGTCTAAGGAATGTGAAACACTGAATGCCATGCAGGAATTTGAATTTGAACTGGACTCTGGAACACAAAGACATCAGTGAGGGAAAAAAAAGGGTGAAATCTGATCAAAATTACAGCCTAGTTAATAGCATTGTGTCAGGGTTCTGTTCATGGTTTTTATCAATATGCCACAGTTGTGTTAACTTTAGGAAAATGCTATGTAGTCATTGCAGCTTTTCTGTAAGCCTGAAATTATTGCAAAACAAAAGTTGAGTGAGCGGGAAAAAGTGGAGGAAGGGAGGGAGCCATGGGATTATATAAGGCACCAGAAGTGGGGAACTCGGGCACAAGCATTAGCAGATACCAGCTCAGGAGCCTCCATGTCATAAGACAGAGTTCAACTTGAGTGTTTCCAGGCAATGACTCCACGACAATAATATACAAGCCCAGGTGAACATCCATGACATCTCCTTTCTTTCAAGTTCATCCTGACTGCATCTCACCTTCCCATATCTGCCTAAACTCACACTCTAAGGCCCACACTCTCATATATGCACACACGAAACAGACAGGCACATGTTCATACACACAAACACACAGCCCACCCCAGACACATTTCGGGAACACAAGGTCCTAATACAAGGAATTTATAGTATCTAGCCAAATGGCCCCTGAGGCGTAAGGACAGTGTGAGCAACACAGTAAGTGGTTTTACTCGCCTTTTGGTAGAACCTTCTCAGGGCAGACTCCCCTCCCCGGAGCTGGTGGAAGTGGGAGGTGGTGTCCCCTTCCGCTGTTCCCAGCATGGCCCCATCTCTCTGGTTTGTGGCTTCGGCCACTCAAGGTCAGTCATGTAATGTGAGTTCCCACATGTTTGCCGCCCTTCACTCCACTAATTCTTCCCTTGCTATTTTGCATTCCAGTTGGGTGGTAGACTCCTTTTAAGTGGAATGTGGACCCTGCCTGTGCCTGTAAGCCCACAGGGCCTGGCACTCAGTGTACAGGTGAGGTAGATGCGTGGTGAACAGGAATCAACACGTTCTGTCTGATGGATGTGCTCTGGAGACAGAACTAGCTCTTCAAAGACGATCCTCTTGCCAAAAGTCCAGGACTCCAAAGCTTGAGGCCACTTACCGCATTGTAACACCTGCCACCATGCCTTCGCCTGAGAATCTGGTTCACGGTTGAGTTTGGGACTGGAAAGATGGCTCCATAGTTAAGACCCCTTGCTCCTCTTCTCCAGGACCTGAGTTCAAATCCCAGCACCTATGTCAGGCCGTTCTCTGACTCCAGAGAATCCAGAGCCCTGTTCCGGGGCCCCAAAGAGCACTCTCACACATGTGGCAGACACACATATACATAGGTAAAATAAAAACAAATTTCAAAGGGTCTTTTGTGAGCATGTTTCCGGTTTACAGAACACTGCCACATCCAAGGGCTCATTTGGTTCTCAATGATCACACAGGAATATCAGTCCACTTTATGGATAAGGAAATGGAGTCTCAGAAAAGCAAAGTGATTTGCCTAGGTTGTCATAGCAACCAGGTGAATGCCCTGGAGTTTGAACCTTCGACTGCTAATCTTTTCCTTCTTCTCTTCCTTCCTAAGAAAGAAAGACCACACACACACACACACACACACACACACACACACACACAAGAGCCACTTCTGCCAAATCCAGAAGTACCCAAAGAGAAGCTGCTGATTCTACCTGTGGTTGCTACCGCCTACCACTGAGCCAAGGGCAGGCCCACCGGGGTTCCCACCCACCTACCCACCTAGCATGGTACAGAAAGAGCAGTGATCTCTATGCTGCTATAGAAGGAAAGGCTCAGAAGGGACAGACAAAAGACAAAACCAGTGTGCAAACTCACATGAGAATCAGTTTGTTTGCAGGTAACCTCAGGATAGCACAATCCCAGGTCATCTGTAGCCCCTTCCCTCACCCTCTATAATCAAAGGACCAAAACAGTGAAGAATGCCAGGCACATCCCCAGATATTCCGGAGGCTGAGCTGGACCAGCAGGAGTAACATAGTGAGACCTCCTTTCAATCAATCAATAAGAAAAAAAAGGCCCCAAGCAGTGCCAATAGCAACACACTCACCCCCGGGAAATAGTGTTTTAGCCTGAGGCTCTGGGGTTGAGCCATCTGAGTTCATTCAAATCCAGACTTAAAAAGTTAATAAACCTTTGTGAGTTGTTTTCTTTGCTTATAGGTGATGACAGGCCTCAACCTCCGAGGGCATTTGCATATTAAATGGGCCCCTCGGTATCAGTGAGTATCTAGAGGCTTGCTTTCAACATTCAGAAACTGCCTGTGACTGGAGCTGGGGATACAAGTTGGGAGTGCCGTTTGCTTGGTAAAAGTACAAGACATAACATTACAGCCCAGACTGAACCTAAGAATCTAGTGGATAATTCAAAAGAAACAAGTAGCTGGGCATAAAGACTCATGCTTGCAAATCTAATATTTGTAAGACTGAGGCAGGAGGGGTTCTGGGACTAGTCTGGGCTACATACGAAGTTCCAGGGCAACATGGGCTAAAGAGAAAGAATCTGCCTCGAAAAATTAATCAAGGGCCAGTCACAGCGGCACATTCTTTTAATTCCAGCAGTTGGGAGGTAGATTTGAGGCCAGCCTGATCTACATAGTGGGTTCCAGCCTAGTCAAGACTGTGTACTGAAACCCTGTTTAAAAAAAAAGTTAAGCCAAGCCGGGCATTGGTGGCGCACGCCTTTAATCCCAGCACTCGGGAGGCAGGGGCAGGTGGATCTCTGTGAGTGCAAGGCCAGCCTTGTCTCCAGAGCAAGTGCCAGGATAGGCTCCAAAGCTACACAGAGAAACCCTGTCTCGAAAAAGAAAAAAAAAAAAGTTAAAATAAATAAATAACAAATAAAATAGAAATTGCTACAGGAGTGTGCTGTGAGAGTGGACATGAGCTACCTTTGATGGCTGATGGCGCTGGGAAGGCAGCGGCTGAGCTAGCCTCAGATAGGGCTAAGCTGAAAGGCCCAGGGGAAGGGAGTGAGGGACCCAGACATGGGGATGTGTGTGACATCCCGCAAGAGCAAGCAGAACTGTAGAAGATGATGCAGAAGGGACAGCAAAGAGCCTCTCTGTCCATCTCAGGTCCAATCCAGTATTTACTATAGGATAACTTTGTACCTGACCTGGTAAAAGTGCACAAGCCACACCAAGAACGGCCAACTTGTCCCACATTTATGGAGTTGATTTTTTAGCTCCAATAATTGAGTAGATAATAATAGACACTCCAAGACCTCTCTCCATTTTATGAGAAGAAAGCAGCAATACAGAAAAATCACTCAGAGATAGGAAAGGGACTGGGAAGTCTTCAAACGGGGAAAGCGAGCAAGAAAAGGTTAAACAAGCTTCAGAGGCACAACAAATGGATGGTATTAAACATTGGTTTCTTCATACTCCCCCACACACACACACGCACGCACACACATTCTAAGGGGGATACCCTGAGATATATGATTTTTCTTGCTGAGCAAGAGGGGGGAGGAGAGAGGAATACAAATTGGAATGCCCAGCAAGAGCTAAATTGTTCTGTATGGACAGGAGCGGAGGACAGTCACAGGTGATGAGGACCAGGGGGCTGAGGGCAGGGGACGGGGCAGGAGACAAGGTTGTCTGCATGAAATGGGATTTTTGAAGCAAGAGATATTAAAAAGTGATCTTGTAATTAAATTGTGTGTGTGTGTGTGTGTGTGTGTGTGTATTTACGTTGGTCATACATGTCTGGGGTGGATGTGTATATATGGAGGTGCATCTGGAGGCCACATGTTGATGTCAATTGTCTTTCTTTTCAATCATTCTCCACCTTTTATAATGAGGTAGGGTTTCATATTTGAACCCAGAGCTCAGGAAATTGGCTAGTCTAGTTAGCCAACCTCCTCTGGGGAGCCCTTGTCTTTGCCTCCTGTGTGTGTGTGGGGGGGGGTTGGTTGGTTGCTTTGGTTTTTGATGTTTTGGGAGGTTGTTTGGTTGGTTGAGAGGGAGTCTCACTGTGTGCCTTTGACTGCACAGGAACTCACTTTGTAGACAAGGATGGCTTTGAACTCACAGATGGCCACCTACCTCTGCCTCCCAAGTGCTGGGATTCAAGGTGTGCTCGACCACAGCTGTCCTTCATATACTAAGATTACATACAGGTCAGTCCAAGAAGCTTTTAACAGGATACTAGGGACCCCAACTCTGGTTCTCAATAGTTGTGTGACATGTCCTTTTTTACCCACTGAGCCATCTCCCCTGCCCCTAACCATGGGGCTTTAGTCAGCATACAAATGATGCATTTCGCTGTGACATTTTCTTACACACCTATCACTATGCTTTGTTCTTATTGGCTGTGTCCGTTTGCTTCCTCAGCCCTCTCTCCCGTCTTGCTGCACACCATGAAACAGTCCCCAGATTTGCGTGCCATCCTTGCACAGGGACCACGCTGATCTCCCCTGTATCGTTCCAGTTTTAGCATCTGTGCAGGACTGAAGGGGATGTTTAGAGTGCTTGCACCTGTAACCCCCTCAGCCACCCTAACCATGAAAGCCTGATCAAAACCATACCACACACAGATGAATTTTGTGCTGAGGGTGTGTGTTCAACGTAACGAAAACAGTTGTGGATGCTAACAGAGCTCCCTCAGTGCCGTCACAAAGTACTGAGGCGTGTTGACCGGAAAGCCGGAAACCAGTGAGCCAGGTCAGTGACGAGGATAGTGCACAGTTTTGAGGTCGTGACCCCTGTTATTGGAGGGGACAAGAGCAAGGACAGATGAGGAGCCAATGCTGAGTCACAATCACAAAGCCTGGGTCTTACCTCTAACACTTGACCCTGCTTGGGCTTGGTCCCTGTGACGGTTTAGTCTTTTCATCTCAGATTCACTGGGTCTGGAATGGCTAAAGATAGGCTGCTGGGCACATCGGTGAGGGTTTTCTAGAACAGGCAGCAGCCCTGAAAAAAAGGAGATCCAAGGGCAAAGCTTTGCTGTTTGCCTCATTGCCTTCACATCTCATCGGCAAGTTCATCGACCCTGTTGCTGCCATCGCCGCTGTTGCTGCATCAGTGATGCAGCGTCATCAGGCTTCCAATGTACACTGAAGACCAGTCAGTCGCTCTCCAGTCTGGGGCTGCCAAGACTCCAGCTTCATGGACCCAACAGCTACAGTTTTCATCTTCTCCGGGGTGAAGAAAGCCACCATTGAGGTGACTATCCAAATCACGTCAGGTAAGCCAATCTAATAAATCCCCCTTGGGTACATATTCAGTCTATAGCCTCTCTTCCTCTCAGGAGCCCTGACGACTACAGTTCCTCAGTGGGAAGTGCCTGAGATGTCCATGGGCGACAACATGAGAGATGTTAGGAAACAAAGCCCCTGTGCACTCAACAGGAAAGAGGCTAAGGGAAGAGGAGGAGAGTCAGGGGCAAGGCAGGACTTGGGTGCTGAAGGAAAGGAAGATGGAAGGACTTAAAAAGAGAAAATTGATTTTACATGTAGGATCCCACAGAGATTTTGCACTCTGGCCCCAGTGTTTATTTTAATAGCTGTGTCCATTCCTTCTACTACTGTATGACAAATATGACAAATGTAGTGGCTTAAAATAACACATTTAATTATTTTACCATTCCAGAGGCCAGTACGTGGGCAGCAGTGGGTTTGTTTTTGCTGACAGTTGTAGCGGAGAATTTTTTTCCTCACCTGGTCCTGCTTCCATCCCAATCTGGGTCTCTGTCCTCACTTCTCCTTCTCTGGCTGGGACACTCTGGTGGAAAGGAAAGATGGCTCAGCAGTTAAGCACACTGTCTTGTAACTACATTTCAGAGGACCTAGGTTCAATTCCCAGCACCCACACTATGACCTTCAACTGTCTGTAACTCCCATTCCAGGGAATCTGACACTCTCCCGTGTCCCCCATGGGCACCAGGCATACAAGTGGTGCATAGGCATACGGGTGCCAAACACTCACTGCTCGTACACATAAATAAGATAAAAATACTTTTTCTTTTATTTGCACCGTTCCTGGAAGTACTGCAATACCAGGTCGATGCGTGGAGTGGACGGAGCAAGCTCCTATTCCAACTCCTAGTTCCAAAAATCCACTTAATATATTGTCCTCGGATAGAGGACGTATCAGATATTAAACTGATAAGAACAGATACTACACTTGATCTTAGCCAAAAGGCCGAGAAGCGATAAGATAAAAATACTTCTAAAAAGAGAAGTCTTTGCAGACTTGGGGATGATGGCACACTACTGAAATGCCAGTATTCAGGTCAGGTGTGGTAGTGCATGCCTTTGATCCCAGCACTCAGGAGGCAGAGATAAAAGGATCCCTGTGAGTTGGAGCCCAGTCTGGTCTACGTAGTGAGTTCTAGGACAGCCAGAACTACATAGAGAGACCTTGTCTCAACAACAACCAAAGGGAGGCAGGGAGGGAAAAAGAAAAAGAAAAATTCCAGTACTCAAGAAGACAGGAGGATCTAGAGTTCAAAACCAGCCTGGGCTACTTAGTGAGATCTTGTCAAAAACAGAAGCAAACAGCAAAACTCTCTTTTGGTTACAAAGTTCCACTAGAATAATCCCCATTTCAAGATCCTTTGACTGAATCCATCTACAGTCCCTTATACTAGGCATAGTGGTGCACCCACTAGTTTCAGGGACTAAGACGGAGCACATTTGGACTGCTGCTGAACAAACATGACGACCTGAATGGACAAAGGAGTGAAGTAAACAAGAGGAAACGGTGAGAGCATGAGTAACCCACGTGAGAGCCAAGACACCTGCAGGCCAGCATATCTCCCCAAACTTATGCCAGAGATGTTTGCAGAGGACCATGTGCACAGAAGGCCAACAAGCGACGAAAATCGGTCAAGGCAAATGTTCTTTTTAAATGTTTTATCTTAATTTTTATTTTGTGTATGTGTGGGTATTTTGTTTGCATGTAGGTCTGGACACCACATGAATGCCTGGTGCCCACAAAGGCCAGAAGGGAGTATCGGATCCCTAGGAACTGGAGTTACAGGTGGTTGCAAACTGTCCTGTGGGAGCTGGGAATAAAACCCAGATCCTCTGGAAGAGCAAGCAGCCAGTGCTCCTAACTGCTGAGCCCCCACCCCCACCCCCAAATCGAGTGTTCTTTGAAGGTGTTCACCACCAACATGTGTACCAATACAGGAATATGGTGACATTAGAAGAGTCACATCAAGCAATCTATGAGGATGTGATAAGAGTGTTTGCAGAAACCCAGGCGTTGGTGGCACACGCCTTTAATCCCAGCACTCGGGAGGCAGAGGCAGGAGGATCTCTGTGAGTTCAAGGCCAGCCTAGTCTCCAGAGCGAGTGCCAGGATAGGCTCCAAAGCTACACAGAGAAACCCTGTCTCAAAAAAAAAAAAAAAAAAGAGGTTTTGCAGAAGGCTCACATACCCGCTTTTAGAATAAAGGCAACCGCCCAACCTTCTAGTAGTGAAAGCAACAAACCCAAACGGTCACTGATACAGGAAGCTCGGGACAGGGAGAAGGATCTTGCCTGAGCAGGCTTCATAGGCAAGTGCCCACACATGGGTTGAGTGGGCAGTCTCTGAGACATTTGCTGAAGCCAAAGCTGGTGGCTTGGCCAGATGTGTTTAAATCTCACCACCAGGGGGAGTACAAGAGCCAACACCGACCCCTGAGTTGAGGGGATTTTCCAGAAACAAGATCCCCCCAGGGAAAGCAGAAAAAGTTTTCCCAGTCCCAACTCCACAAAAGCTGGAAGGCCTGGCTGCCACCATGTGATCCCTGACTCAAGGGCTTGCCCACATTTTCCTCTTCCAGTTAAAGCAAACCACATTTTTTTCCATACCTCCCTTTTCCTGGTTGCCTGTAGCAATAAGCTCCTGTAATAAACACACTTTGGCCAAGAAAGTCACTGCACCATAGAAGACCAGGGTCCAGGGACAGGAGCTGACCTGTCCAAATAACTGTAGAGCAGGGACCAAGACCAGAGGTTGCTCTCCTCACTCCAGGTCCAGTGTTCTCGGCATGTAAGGCCACCACACTGTGTGGGCCTGGAATCTCAAAGCAACAACAAGAAAAACCCTCCAGATTATGTGTGATGGGGTTCTTAAACTGTTCCACAGGCGTAAATAATAATAGTGTGTCAAGGGGGGGAGCTGGGGGGGACCTCCTTCAGCACTCACTGCTACCCAATGTAGTTTCTGTTGAAGATGGAAATGTTTACCGAACTCCTCTCTCCCATGGTCCTCAGGAGGAGGTACAGGGAGATTAAACCTTTTCTTGAGACCTGTTCTCCCTAAATGGTCGGACTCCCGCCAGAACAAGGAGATGTTATTTTTTCTACCCTGTCCCAGCGCCTGGTTGTGCCACACATCCTATTGGAGCCATCCTCAGTGAGTTACTGAATCAGCAAAGCACTGTTGACATCCACTCCTCCTGGCAAGAGACTCAAGTTAGGCGCTGCCTCTCCTTCTTCCCGCCAGCTTGCCCACTGCAGGTAGCTTCCCCAGGCACAGACAATTTTGTGTTTTTGTTCCCGTCTTCACCTAACTGCTGACCCCTCTTCGCCTCACCTCCTCCAGCTTCCGAAGTCTGCTCCCACCATGCCCCCTGCATCAGACTGACATAGGGACATCCATGGAGTTGCCTGTTGGGGTCTCTCACGCCACACATCCATGGATATAGGTGGCTTCGCAGCATTACACTCAGTAACACCTAAGAAATTTTAGGACAGATGAAGCAAGCCCTTAGAGATCTGGCTCTAGTTCAGGTTCTCCCCTCTGCCCCCTCCCCACCCCCACCCCGTCTCCTCAGCTCTGTTCTAGGTCTCCCTGCCCCTCCTACCTTCCTGTTTTCTTTAACCGCTTCACATCTCCATCCTGCCCCCAGCCCATCCCTCATCTCTCTCCACAGCCTGCTTCATCCTACCTAACCTCCTCAAATGCACCCAGATTTCCTGTCTGACGCCCCAAAGTTTTAAACCAGGCACTGGAGGTACAAACAGTGGTTCTCAGCCTCACAGAGCTTGCAGCCTGTCCTCTGACCCGCCTGTGCGAGGTCAGGGCTCCACCTGAAAGCCCTGAGGGTCATCCTCTCCCAGCAAGCACTCTCGGAGGACAGAGTCCTCACCAGTGCTCTGCAGAAGACCATGGGAGCCCCAGCCCCAGCTTTGCCAGGCTGTCTTGACTGTGACTCTTAACTTGGGAATACTCCGTAGCCAGCTCCTAAACTCCTTCAGGGAAAAAAGATGATAGAATCTGTTGCTCTCAACTCCTGCCCTCAGTGAAGTACCTTTCCAAAGTGGACTGTGAAAAAAAAAAATCTTTTTAAGTGGATCGATTAATGAAACCAGTCCACTGACAAATACAGAAGCGAGAGCTGTGCTAAGCTAACAGAGGCTGGTTTTGCTTCGTGACAATTTGTCTTGTTTGGTTTTTGTTTTTGGAGACAGGGTCTCATGTAGCCCAGATCGCCTCCAAAGCACTGTGTAACCCGGGTGAAATTTTAACTCGCATTCTTTTTGCTTCTTGGCATTTTCTGATGTTTCTGTGATGAGTATGGTTTACTTTTTCAATAAAGACCTACAAGGAAACTTTCTGGCGGGGTGAGGGAAAGAATGTTGCAAAGGATGTTGAAAAGGACCTCCCCACCCAAATTAGAAGAATCAAGGAAGAATTTAGAGAGCCTCAGAGCAGGATATGGTGGTCCATGGCTGTCACACCAGCACCAGCAATGCAGAGGCAGGAAGATAGAGGTTTGAGGATAGCCTGAGCTACATACGCAAATCCAGGTCGCAGGGCTACAGAAACAAATTACGAAGCATGATGAGTTCAAGGCCAGCCTGGTTTACAAAGCCAGACCCAAGCCAGACAGAGCTGCATAGTAAGATTCTGTCTCAAAATACTAAGTGTAAACTTAAATAAAGAATAAACACAATAAGATCTCACAGGCAAAGGAGGCAGGGGCAGCCAGCCACACACCACCTGCAGGCTTCGAGGTGGGGCAGAGTAAGGGTGTGGCACCAAGTGGGGTAGAGAATGTGAGGAGTAAACACTGGATGACGAATTTCAACTCGACTCTGTGAATGAATTAATTTTTTTTGAGTAAATGAGAAACGCTCAGATTGGCACCCGGAGCGTTCCAGCGGCCACAGTGCTCAAATAAGTATGTTCAGTCCGGAAAGGTTTACAAGGAGTGGTTGGAGAGAAAGCAGGCCAGGCAAACAGGGGCCGGCAGACTTGATGCGGGAATCTAAAAAGGTTCTTTAGATTAGATGACACCCGGGGGTCTTCCACCGTAAACTCTTAGGCGCAGCGCCCGAAACGAACCGGAAAGGCTCCCGGGTAAAAGTAGCCGGGTCTGGAGGTCTGGAGAGACCCCAAGACGGTGGGAAGGAGAAAGAAGAAAGGAAAGAGGGTCTCAGGAACGAGTCCCGGAAGGGCAAGGTGCAGGGCGGGCTCCGCACCCTGGTGGAGTCAGAGTCTTAGAACCTGGGGATGGGG